AAGTCAGAAGGCAACACAGTTTTCTCTCTTTTTAGAAAATGAGAAGCAGATGGACAATGTGGCCTTTTTGGTTGATATCACTTCACATCTGAATGAACTGAATTTGAGGCTACAAGGCAAGGACAATTCAATTTGCAAACTGATGACAGCTGTCCGCTCCTTTCAGAGGAAACTTGAGGTGTTCAAGGAAGACCTGTAGGGAGACTGTGCACACTTCCCAGCAGTGCAGGAACAGGTTCAGGCATAGCGAGATGTCTTCTTCTGTTGACTTTATTAATAAGCTGATTGTAAACTTCAGCAACCATTTTGACAGCTTCAGCTTTGGACAGCAGCTCATCATGTTCATTCAGAACCCATTGTTCATCACAGATGTCAGGGGGTTCTCAAAGGAAGTCACAAAGCACTTTAAATGGGCAAATGCTGGGCCTCTCCAGATGCAATTGATTGATCTCCAAGCAGATGTGGCCCTGAAAGAGCACTTTGTAAGAACTGACCCTTCTACTTTCTGGCTCCAAATGGTCACTGAGACAGCTTTCTCAGGTCTGAGGAAAATAGCCCTATACATCTTGACCATGTTTGGCTCCACACACAAACTGTGAGGCAGCTTTCTCCACAATGAACATAATCAAAACTAAATATCGTTCCGGGCTCACCAATGAGCACCTCCACATGTGTGTGAGAATGGCCCTGACTTAATTCAAGCCCAGGTTTAAAATCCTGGCAGGACAAGCTAGAGCTCAATTCTGTCACTGAGCAAAAAAGTGGGGGAGTTGAATATAAGAGGGGAAGAAAGTTTGCCTCTAAAACTGTTCAGTTGTTAAGATGTGTTGAAGTATTATCTGTAAAGTTGGTTGAGACTGTTGAGTCAAGATGTGAAACAGAAATGGTGCAATTCAAGCATTTCCTCCCTTTATTTTATTTTTTATGAAGTTAAGCACTTTATTTGAACATGCACAGCTTTCACATTTTATTTATTTTCTCTTATTTTGAAATGCAGCCCTACTTTTCTTTAGTAAATGAGAGAACATTATACATATCAGCGGTCATGCATATATGTTCAGTTCTATCTTATGTGACAATAAATATTGTCAAACGGTTTTTGAATTGTACTGAATGCATTTGATTTGACAGTTCGGCATTGATTACATGCAGATGTTGATACTACTGAAAGTCACTTTCGGCTTTTCCCGTTTAGGGGTCACCACAGTGAATCGTCACACTGACGACTCGCATGTTGACATTTGGCACGTGTTTTACGCCAGATGCCCTTCCTGACGCAACCCTGATTCAAACCCGGGGTGCATAACCACTAGCCTACTGGGGACGGTTGATACTACTAGGCAACTTAAATATATATCATACTAAACAGTTAGATATTATGGTCTTCCGGACCTTCGCTTCAAGAAGTTTTCACTAACTGGACCTCTTTAAATTATACCCCTGCTATAAAGTGATCATTCATATAGTGTAATTAATTTGTAGTAAAAATCTCCAGAATACACCTTTAAGCTATGAGAGTGATGAGATATTCCTCAGATGTTGAATACATAATGACAGCAACATACGTATGACCTTCAACATCTCTTTCAATCTCTTTTCTAGGAAACTTTGTTCATGCAGGCAACATCCTTGCAACACAGAAAGCGTTAAGGTATCACCCAGGAGCGCATGTAAGTAGATCAAATTTAATATATAAAAAAAAGTCATCTGATGTCATTTCAGATTTAAATGTGCATTTTCACCTCTTGCGTCATCTGTTCTGCAGGTGGGAATGGGAACCAACAACACGCTCTTTGCCCTGGAGGACGGTTACGTCAGGTTCACCAAGGAAGTGTACATCCCGCCACCACGCAGCTTAGAGGCCACACAGGTCATCACTAAATTGCCAAAGGGAGCTGTGCTCTACAAGACCTTCATCAATGTGCTGCCAGTCAAACAGGAGGGCAAGTTTAAACTGGTGGACATGGTCTGAAACTGACTGAACAGGACTGGAATGTCATTAGTTTTTGTATTCTTGCGGTTGTCAGGATTAAGGAAGAGGACATTTGGTGGACTGGGATCACATACAGAGGCAAATCAAAGAAAAACATGCAAAGAAAACTATTTTCAGTGAAGATTGACAGTAACAGATTTTGTGTCACTGGCAATCACAAGGCACCTCCATCATTAATAATAATATAGTACCAATATAGTCCATGATATTGGAGAACCCCAACTTAAAACCTGTCATCAGGGCCAGTTGTTTCTCACTGGGATGCTTCATAGTTACATGTACCTACACCCAGGACTTGCCATCTGAAAGTGAGCCTATATTGAAATACAGAATATTTACTACAGTTGTTATAGTGGTTTATTTGTCAGTCATTAGACCTTTGATTAGATTGAAGTTACCGTATCACTTAATAAATTTTTTCTATGCAATGACCTGAGTTTTGTGTCAAGGGTACTCTGGTTAGCAGTGGAATGAGAGGTATGATTCTGTACTTTAAAAAAAATAGCAATACAACAATGTGGAACTGCTCTACTACAAGTAAACATTCAAATCCAACTTAAAAAAGCACAGAAGCATTGCAGGCAAAATGCACTTAAAGTAACACAAATGGTAGAGCATGGCCCCTTTCAGTCTTACAGATGTTATAGAGTTATGACTGATGCATTAAAATGTGAGCAGAATTTTTGTTATAATTACTTGTAAAAAGTTTTTAATTACTTTAAAAAAAATGGTGGGCTGTTTAATCTGCAAAAACATCACTTATACATACTGTATTTCCACACCATTTCAATCTAAAATACATTTTTACAAAGTTATTGCAGTGTAAAAATAAAAATCAAATTATTCTTGAAGTGTCTGTATCTTGACACAAGATGGCAATTTACTGAGCACTGCAAGATTTTAAAACTAAACATACATTAAAATCAGTAAAACATGCAAAGAAACTAGTAGCTACAAAGCATATTTACACTGTTTCCATGAATGCATGTTTGTGTTGAGCCTTGAACTAACAGTAATGTACCAGTTTTTATTTCTTATGGTGCACATATTTAATGTTACAGATATGTAAATGGTGAGAGGAGTTGAACTTTGAGGCTCAGCCATTAGTAAACGATTTCATTCTGTACTTAGCAGCAGTTTTCTCACACTGAAGTGCTTTACACTATTTTCTATTAACTCACGCAAACACTGGTAATATCATCAATGTCATCAGTCCCTTGCTTAAGGACACTTATGGACTGGACAAGCCAGGTATTGAACTGTCGACCCTGCAGTTAGGGGACGGCCCGCTCTACCTCCTGAGCCACAGCTTGCCCCTTAATATGTCAAGATTTGATATCATCCATCATTTATCTGTACCGACCTATCCTTAAGAGGGCACAGCTGACATAGTGCAGGAGGCGAGGTACACCCTGGATAGGTTGCCAAATCAAATTTATTTATATAGCACTTTAAAAACAACATCATGTTGACCAGAGTACTTCATATATGCGTATATAAATAAAATCATATACAAACAGAAATCCAATAAAATTATTACAAAGGATAAAACAATAAAATACAAAGACATACAGGTATGTGCCAAAAAATTAGAATATCGAGGAAAAGTCCATTTATTTCAATAATTTGTTTCAAAAAGTGAAACTTGTATGTTATAGTAGTTCACTGCACACAAAGTGAAATATTTCAAGCCTTTATTTGTTTCAATTTGGATGATTATGGATTAAAGACAAAAAAAAACCAAATCCAGTATTTCACAAAATTAGAATATCATGACAAAGTTCAATATTGTAGGCTCCCTGTGTCCCAATCTAGTCAGCTAATTAATGCAAAACATCTGCAAAGGTTTCCTCAGCCTTGAAATTGTCTCAGTCTGGCTTAGTAGGCTTCAGAATCATGGGGAAGACTGCTGACTTGATGGTTGTGCAGACGACCATCATTGACACCCTCCATAAGGAGGAAAAGTCTCAAAAGGCAATTGTGTGGTAGTGGAAACGGACAGGACCCAATAAAGATGCCTGGAGACCCGGAGTAGCTTCGAAGACGTCTTTTATTTCATGCAGCATGGAGGGAAGTCATACACAACTTAGCAGTCGCGCAGAGTTCTCTATCTGACTGGTAAAGGGCAGTCCCTTTTATACCAAAAGTGATACAATTACACATCTATAAAACTCATACCATTGTCTCATATCTAACAACCCACATATCGTCTCCAGCTGTCTTTGGTGCCTGCACCTCTCCGCGACCAGACAGCCCATTCACATTTTAACAAAGACAAGTTGGCTTGTTTTGCATTCACACACAGACCCACTTAACATATTGCAAGTTCTGCTTTGTCTTGGGATGTCCTGCAGAGACCGAGGGCTCGACATCCTGAGATGACCACTTGGCCAGTTTAACATACAAATTAACATCACACATACACACAGACCCCCGGTGTAGATCACATTCCAGCAGGGAGGTGTGATCAGACATCCACACTGGTTTAATAGCTATGGAATAACTGTACTTGATTGGCCGGCAAACTCACCTGACTTAAACCCCACTGAAAATCTATGGGGTATTGTCAAGAGGAAGATGAGGGAACACAGACCCCGAAATGCAGACAAGCTGAAGGCCAATATCAAAGCAACTTGGGCTACCATAACACCTCAACTGTGTCAAAGGCTGATCGCCTCCATGCCACGCCGCCTTGATGCAGGAATTAATGCAAAAGGAGGCCCAACAAAGTACTGAGGACATAATACAGTACATTAACACACTTTTCAGAAGGCCAACATGTGTTTAAGATCCTTTTTTTATTGGTCACATGAAATATTCTAATTTTGTGAAATACTGGATTTGGGGGTTTTTTTGTCTTTAATCCATAATCATCAAAATTGAAACAAATAAAGGCTTGAAATATTTCAATTTGTGTGTAGTGAACTAATATAACATACAAGTTTCACTTTTTGAAACAAATTATTGAAATAAATGGACTTTTCCTCGATATTCTAATTTTTTGGCACATACCTGTAAAACCATAATTAAAAGAAAGAATCTCAAACTCCACTAAGTGTTAAAAGCAAAGGAAAATAAATAGGTCTTAAGCAATATTTTAAAAGCTGGCGAGTATGTAGCTAATCTAGCATTCAAATGTTTTTCCATAATTTTGGGGCTACGACAGCAAAATCATGATCATCCCAGCATTCATATCTAGCCCTTGGTACGTCAGTCTATCACAGGACTGACACTCAAACAGAACCACACCCACCCAAAATCACTCCCACGGGCAATTTACTCTCCAGTCAACCTAACCTGCATGTCTTTGGCGTGTGGGAGGAAGCCGGAGTACCCAAAGAGAACACACAAACACAGAAAGGCACCCAGAATCATGTTGCTGCAAGGTTACAGTGCTAATCACTGCACCACCTGATTTGAAACCAAATAACTCTTTTTCAACTGTTCAAAAATGTAATTCAAAAATTGTCACCAGATCACTCTATGTGCCCCTCAGTTTTCAGATAATTCAGCTGCTTTATTTAGTTTCAGCACAAGGCTTTGATTCATTTTATTAATGCTATTGCTTGTAGCATTTGTTGCCTTTTATAAGATGGCAATTTTTAACAGATGACAGGAAATGAGAGGCAACAGATGCAACAAAGGTCCTTGATCAGATTTGAACTGGAGTTACTACAGTGGATGGTTGGTGTTGTAACCCCTGTAAGTCAATATGGCCAGACCACATCGACAGTCCTTTTAAAGCAGATTTTGATTTCTGTTAAAAAAATTATTCATTAAACACTAATGAGGTTTTGTCTTACTCTGCCTTTGAATGTTTACATATTTTGCAATGTATAAGTAAATCAGTTATAATGTTTCAAATTTGAAAAGTTTTCAGGTGCTTTACAAAGAAAATCTTTTCATACCCACTGAGGAAACATGTAACACCAACAACTGAGCACAAGATGTCACCCCATTACTCCTCCATTAGGTATACCTCAGTATTGTTTTTTCCAAGTATATATCAGAGTTAGGGTCCACATTGCAAGTATATACACCTGATGTCTTATTTCAGAGTGGATTTATGAGAAAAATATATAATTCTGTAGACAAACACCTAAGGTAACCAGGATAAAAGGGAATCCGATGAGCTGTCTTGTTTCTTACATATCAAGGTTTCACGCATTTTTGATTACTTTGGAGATCACAACCGGTTAGTTCTGATCAGACCACATCCATACAATCCTGTTTAAACAGCTTTTTATTTTTGAAATTAAAAATATTACCTTTATTGTTAAGTCAATGACTAACTACAATATGTTTTAGTCACTCATACATTACAAGTTCCTCAGCTTGATTTTGCCCTAATATACATACATACATACAATCTAGCCACAGGGGTTTCAAGCCAGTGACTTCTGTGCTGGTACCAAGCCTGGCTAAATAGAGAGGGTTGCGTCAGGAAGGGTATCCGGCGTAAAATCATGCCATGCGAATCATCAGTGCGAATTCCATACCGGATCGGTCGAGGCCCCGGGTTAACAACGACCGCCACCAGTGCTGTTGACCTACAGGGTGCTGGCGGAAATTGGACTACTGTTGGTCAAAGAAGGAGAGGAGGTAGAAGGATTCG